TTAGAAACTCCCGTGGAGGGGCTGGAAATGTATATTTTCACAAGTATTTATGGTGACTTAAGTAGCCTATAGTCCTGCTTCTCAGCTCACTTTCATTCATCTATTCAGTCATTTACATGACATAGTTTTTAAGAAGCATGCTTTGTACCAGGCTCTGCGCTCTCTGCTAAAGTCAGGCGGCCTGCAGGTTACAGTGTGGTCCCCAGAACATGACCAGCAGCACAGGGAGCACTTGAAAACTTGCTAGAAATGTAGAATCTCAGGTCCAGGGCCGGAATTACTGTATAGAATCTGCATTTTAACAAGAACCTCGGGTGATTTGTGCGTAAAGTCTGAAAAGCCTTGGGCTCCAGCATGCCTTCCAGAGAGCACTTCTGCTTTTTCCCTTCATTCACTAGGAGGCTCTTCACACAGATCTAGACGCCAGGAATCCCAGGCAAGCGGATGGGGCCCTTGTGGCTTCTCTCTGTGCACTTGTTCTCTCTTGGGGGCACCTCAGCCCCTGTTGCCAGACCCCCAGCCTGGCGGAGGGAAGGGAGGCTCATAGGAGATGCTTGAATGAGCTGGAGTGACTTGCTGAAAAACGGAATTAGAGTTACCTTCCCTTTTACTCTTCTCTGCAAGACTTCTGCCCCTACTGTAAATGGAAAAAGGGTTGTCTAATAATTTTCTTCTAATTGCCCGTTGCTTTGTGTTCTCGCCTACCCCAGCGTCTGGATAAGCCTCCCTCTCTAGTCCTGTTCCCCTAACAGTCAGACCACCCCCTTAGGTAGACACTCTTAATGCCCGCCTCCCCCTCCCCCACCCCACTTGGCAAAACCCCAATTCATTGGCTAAGTATGTATTGAGCACTTGGTTGGGGTAAGAACAAGGCTCAGTTTTGGGTAGGGAGCAGCAGTTCCTTCTGTTCCCCAGCACTTGATTTTCCGCCAGCCTCTCTTCTGCTCTCCCACCTCTTCTCTTTCTGGCCACAGCAGCCTCTTCACTGTGATTTCCCAGGGCCCAGCCGTGCACCTCCTAGGCCAGGAAATTTTGAATGTTTTGTCCTCCTCATTCTCTCTCAGCCTCCTCTGTCCATTCCTCACTCCCACTTTCAGACATAAGCTTACCTAAGTAATTCAGGCTGGAATTTGGGAAATGGAGAGAGGGAGAAGCAGGAGGCAGCTCTGGGAGGAGCCCAGGGAGAGGTCCTGGGCTCTCCTTGGATTAGAAGAGCAGAACTGGTCCTGCAGTGGGAGGGGCGAGAGGAGGACTTTTGAGCATCTTGAGCATGCGCACACACCCCCCCCCCACCAACCACAATCTCTTACCTCTTTATCACTTTTTTAAAAATAAGTGTGCTTTCTCCTATTCCAAGATAAAAATCCATGGCAGTGTAACAGCGCAGAATTGGGCTGCCTTTCTGACCCCACCGTGCAGGCCCTCCAGTACTCCCAGGTGTTCTTTTTCCCCTCTCCTGTACCCCTGGCTCTGGCTGCGCATAATGTCATTTTGCTTCTGTTCTCTTCTAGGTTTCTTTTTGGGGACAGGCCTTTTTGGTGGATCCATGAGTCTGGGTACTACAGCCAGGCCCCAGCCCAGGTTCACCAGTTCCCGTCTTCTTGTGAAACTGGTCCAGGTGAGAAGCATCAAACCTCGCTTGCCCAGTGTGGTTAGGTTTTGGGTGAGTGTTTCAGAGTACTTTTCAGCCAGAGTGGTCCAACCAGAGGCCCAGCCTCACAGTTAACAGACCAGAGAACAAAGAAACCCCAGGAAAAATGAGTTGAATTCTGGGAGAAGAGCGCCCATACCGGTGAGCCAGCTGCCCGCCTTATTTAGGGAGTCAGGAGACACGGGGCAAGGTAGAAGCCTGAGAGCAGGGGCCTCAGAGAGAAGCGAAGAGGGAGCTATGGGCCAGTGCGGGGGGAAGGCTCCCTTCTAGCCAGGGGCAGGGAGCTGTGTTGAGCTATCACCTGGGGCCTCTGGGTTCTGCCCCATTCTCTCACCACAAGCTTCTGTCTCCCCCACAGGCAGCCCTTCTGGACACTGCATGATCACAGGAGCAGCCCTCTGGCCTATAATGACAGCCATCTCTTCCCAGATGGCTACTCGGGCCCACAGGTACACACGAGTAGCCACCTGGTACAGCGGGGGCGGGGGCAGTGGTTCCCTGGACCTGAGAGACCCAGCAGCAGGGCAGCCGGGGAGCTGGAGTTCTCAGGACCTTGGGCGTTTGTGTGGTGAGAAGCCGAGCTGTGTCGGGACATTCCCTGGACCCTTTGCCTCTCTTTTTAGCCGCTGGGTGAGGATGATGCCAAGCCTGGCTTACTGCACCTTCTTGCTGGCTGTCGGTCTGTCCCGGATCTTTCTCTTAGCACATTTCCCCCACCAGGTGTTGGCTGGCCTGATAACTGGTGAGCACCTGGGACAGCAGGAGGGGCCCAGAGGGTGCTGTTGGCAGTGGGAGGACCAGTCCAGGATCTTCCCATTGTACAGCCAACCCCAAGGCTTCCCTTATGTCTGTTTTGCCAAGCTGCGCTGTAACTCTGAGGGGTCATGTCCCCAAACTCCTTGAATCTGCTGTCATCCCACTCCCCCAGGTGCTGTCCTGGGCTGGCTGATGGCCCCCCGGGTGCCCACGGAGCGAGAGCTAAGCTTCTACGGGCTGACCTCACTGGCCCTCTTGCTGGGTGCCAGCCTCATCTACTGGACCCTCTTTACACTGGGCTTGGATCTCTCCTGGTAAGTCCTGCCCTGAAGCGTGGGCAGGCCAGGCCCGGCCTCCTCACTTTACCTAGCCTGGTGGGTCTCTGGCCCACTGCAGAGGACACACTGTGTGTTCGCAAACACAGACTGTCCTGGGGTCTCAGCAGAACACGGGGGCTGGGGGGTGTAGACCCCAACGGAGGCGAGAGCCGTTGGCTCTCTAGGTTCTAGGGGAATGTCTCTCCTGGCCAAGGCTCTTCTTCCCCGCAGGTCCATCCACCTAGCTTCCAAGTGGTGTGAGCGGCCGGAGTGGGTGCACGTGGACAGCCGGCCCTTTGCCTCCCTGAGCCGCGACTCGGGGGCCAGCCTGGGTCTGGGCATCGCCCTGCACTCTCCCTGCTATGCTCAGGTACGGCGAGCATACCTGGGAAATGGCCAGAAGGTAGCGTGCCTTGTGCTGGCCATGGCGCTCCTGGGCCCTCTGAATTGGCTGGGCTACCCCCCTCAGATCAGCCTTTTCTACATCTTCAATTTCCTCAAATACACCTTCTGGCCATGCGTGGTCCTGGCCCTCGTGCCCTGGGTGGTGCTCACGTTCAGTGCCCAGGAAGCACCGCCCATCCGCTCTTCCTAACTGCAGGTGCCTCCTACAAAGCCGACACTCCAGGAGACAGCTCCAACCCCTCCCAGCCCCCCCGAAGGCCCTGCTTATCTTGAATTTCCCACTTTTCCCACCACCTGGCTTAGCCCCAAAGAAGGGCCTCCTCTCTCCCAGAAAGGCTGGCCCTCCTCCTTTTCCTTCAAAGTCCCCAAAAAAACAAAGACAACAGCAAGGCCAGTGGGTTCCTGCATCACTGTGAGGGGTTGAGTGGCCCCAATAAAGCCCTTGAACACTTTTGGACTCTCACCTGTGTGTAGTTCCCTGAACTCGCCTGTGTGTGCAGACAGCATCCTGGCTGGGCTGCCTGTTCTCCACCCTCTCCAACCCTGTCTCTGCAGAGGCAGAGTCAAAGGAAAAGGGAGGGCTGTGTACTCAGTTAAGACCTTCAGCCCTGGGTACCATGACCACCTAGGCCATATGACAGGTCCCATATGGTGCTGTGGCTACATTCAGTGAAACCTTGTCTTTAACCTGCTGGACAGATACTCACCCCGTCCCACCCCAGCCTCCTATTTCCTAAGTTGGTTAGTTCAGGGGTTGGAGAGGAGAGCTTTGTTTGTTTGTTTTGTGACCAAGAGGGTAAATAAGACTCTCTACTCTACTTGGGAGCCCAGAGAACAGAGACACTGGCCCCAGAAGGCACTGCCAGAAACAAATTTATTTATGCAAGGACACACAATGTAATGGGTTACAAAATACTTAACTGAAAACCATAACCAGGGAGACAAAGCAAGGAGTGGGTTTACATGAGCGCCAGACCAGCCACGGGAAGATGGAGGGGAAGGAGTCCGGAGGTGGAGCTCAGCATAGGAGGCCTGACACGCTGAGCCCAGCCCCAGCCCCAGCCCCAGCCCCAGCCCCCAGGGGGATCTAGAACTAACGACACAGACACAAGCACACAATGAACTGATGGTGGTGGGACTCCTGCCCCTCCCCTGGCTCCCTCAACCCTGCTCAGGCCCCCGTTAGGGTAATAAATATGTAAACAGATTGGTGGGGCCCTAGGGATGGGGCAAAAGAAAGTGTATGTGCTGCTGGAAGGAGGGAAGACTCAGCCCCCTAGGAACCACTTCCCATCTTTGGTTTCCTACAGGCTGGACAGTGTTCCCTAGAAGCCTTGTGGGCCCCCAGCCCGAGAAACAGCTAGGCTAGGCTCCTGGGAAAGAGAAAGGATGGACCCCCTCCTGGTCTTAGCCCCCTTGGCCTGGTGGCCAGCTAAGGAAGCCCAGGAAGGGAGGCTCCAGCTGAAGGCAGACTCCTGGGTTTCTGGGTTCCGGCCCTGCCCCATCTACAGCCCCCATTCTCACCATCCCTAGGTTTCAGAGCAAAAGGTCCCAGGAGGGAGGCGGGCGGGCCCCTGACCCTTCCTGCAGGGGGCTGGGTGACTGGGGAAATCTGGTCCCGGACAGCAGGGGCGCTCTCGCCAGCCTGGAGCACCCCGTGCAGGGACCACTTCCCTACGGCTCAGTCCGGGCCAGCAGAGGGGCAGGGAGGCCGACAGAGTAAGGTAGGAAGCAGGCCTTGATCTGCGGCTCCTCTCGGCCCAGGAGTCCAGCCCCAACCCTCCCCACCCTCTCCAGCCCCTGGGAAGGGAAACAGGCCCTAAGGAGTGTAAAGCAAGACAGCCCTGCCTACAGACCTCAGGCCCACATCCTAGGGCACAAGCCTTCCCCTCCCTTGGCGCTAAGGCCAGAAGGAAGGGGGGGAGAGAAGTCTGTGCAGAGATGGTGAAAACAACAGAGGGAAGGAATGACGGGGAATCATCAGGCAGGAGCCCACCTCCCCTCCACTCTACATCCTAGACTGTAGAGGGACCCTCCAGAACCTCCCAGGGCTAGAGAGGGGAGGAGGGTGAAATTAAGGCAATTCCCCCCAAGTCAGCTGAATCCAAGGCACCGAACTTCCTGTTCCCTCCTCACTCAGGCAAACTCCGGAACCAGAAGGTACTAGTTGGGCCCCCATGCTCACCTTGAGCTGGCCCAGGCTCCAAGGGGGAAAAGGACATAATTCGGGAAACTGAGTGTGAGATACAACGTGGGGGAGGGGCTGCAGAGGGCACCCCCGCACCCTACAGAGGGAACAAAGTTCTAGAGCTGAGATGGCCACAGGGGCGGGGGCCTGAGACAGCTTAGAGGAGCAGGAGGGGCGAGGCTGAGAGACCCACACGGCACACGTCGTTGAATGTGTGACTTTTTGTTTTTAATAGAAAAAATAAACAAAATCACAATGATGAAGCCCAGAGGGGTGGGGGCCGGGGTATCACAGGGCAGGCTCCTGCTCCATAGGCTCCTCTGCTGGCCTGTGGGGACAAGCACAGGGACGGGCATTGAGTGGGTTCCCCAGCCCGGCGTGAGGGCAGAGGGGTGGGAGGAGCCTCACCTGGGGCTGTGCTCCCTGGCCACGGCAGCCTGGGCCTGCTCGGCCCCCACTGACAGCAAGGCCATGGCGCTCACAGTCTCGGCCTCCTCCACCTCACCCGCCTGGGCCTCCCGTAGGGAACGACCCAGGCCGGCGGCGAACCTCTGCACGCAACTCCAGTGTTTGCCTGTGGATGAGAAACAAGCAAGGGATCAGAGGGCAGAAACCCCTCCGTGTACACGCCCATCCCAGGTGCGCCTTTAAGTCCCGCCCCCTCGGCAAGGCCTGAGCCCCTCCACCTGTCCCCACACACTCTGGATCTCGATGACTTTCTCTAGCGTGGCCACCGCGTTCATGTTGGGCTTTTGCTGTAAGACTGTCTCGTCCAAGGGCTGTAGCTGAAAAGGGAGAGAAGAGAAGGCTCAGGGTGGGAGACAGGTGGTCCCTGCCGCTCTCCCCGCATATTCAGCCTCAGACATCTCTCATGACAGGAGGCACCCCCACTCAGAAAGCCCTCCCTGGCCACCAGCTGTCCTCAGGACCCAGGACAACCTTCCCAGGGACCCTGGGTGCTGCCTAACCTAGGGAGGGGCCCTCCCTCCCAGCCACTCAGCCCCTGGCCTAGGCCCACACCCCCGGCCCCTCCCCGTACCCCTCACCTCCACGCTGAGCAGAGCTGAGACACAGGCCTCAGAGGCATCACAGATGGCGGTCAAGTCGTGGCCTCCCTCCAGGGCCAGCACCACCCGGCCCCCTGCCAACGTCATCAGCTGCCTGGTCAGGTGGCCAAAACCTTTAGGGATGAGTAAGGGGAAATTAAATGGTTAAAAAAAATCAACTAGAGAAGGTAAGAAAGGAAAGAAATAGAGACAAGAGGTGGGACAAGCAGCACAAAATAAGATGGTAGATTTAAACTCAAATGTGTATGTGTATCCGTAACAAATTTAATATCCATGAATTAAATGCTCCGTTAAAGACAAAACATAACGGACTGGCTAAAAAAATGCAATTACATGTTTTATAAGGAACACCATTGAAATGGGAGGATCAACAAGCTCCATCCATTCGACTCCGGGGGGGAGATGCAGCATCTGCTACCCCCCCACACCCTTTCCTTGCCAGCCCCTCAAGGCCAGGGCCGATAGAAGGAGGAGACCGGGGGCACCGTCAGCCTGACTCCAGTCTTGGGCCTCCCCAGGTCTCCTTCCAGCTGCGCAGTGTCAGTCTGCAGCTGCTCCACGCCCCCACTCAACCCCGTCCTTACTGTTCCACAGCCTCCCTTAATCCCTCAGCAGGCTCACATCTGGCGGTGACAGAGTAGCCACCCAGCGGAGACAGGTGTCCCTCAACAGCATCAAACCCGGCGGAGACTAGGACCATGTCAGGTGAGAACTCGTGGGCAATGGGCATCACCACTGTCCTGCAAAGGGAGGGCCCAAGCTGACCCTGGCGGGAGGCTGAGCCAGGCGGAGCCCCGCTGTGTCCCCCCAAGACAACCCCCTCCACCTACACCAAACTGAGTGGCTCTACCCGTCCCACGGCAGGGCCCGCGCGGCGGCCCCCACCCCGCCCTTGGCCCTTCTCAGTCCCCACCTGAAGGCTGTTAGGTATTCCACGTCTCCGATGGGGGGGTCCACACCGCCCGTCCATGCCACGTTCACATTGTACCCCACGCCCGGCCCTCCGCCAACCTGGCAGCATGGTGGGGGAGTGGTTACTTGCACCGCCTGGGGATCCCAGACGTTGCCCCCGCCCTCAGCCCTGCCTCCAGCCCTGCCTCCAGCCCTCACTGCACTGACCTCTGCTCTGCACGGGCGGGCAGCTGGCCGGCACGGTCCTCCCACTAGGAGCCCAGACGCCCCAGGTCCCCGCACCAGGGAGGGTCTCCAGGACTTCTTGCCAGGCCTCACTCTGCTACCTCCCCAAGGGGCCCCGTGTTTAAGCCCAGGAGCTGTACCTCCTCAGGAGCCCCAGAGCCTGGAAAGAAGTTCCCATTGTCATAGCGATGCAGGGAGATGTAGAGCACGGAGGGGTCATTGTAGAACGCCTGCTGGGTGCCATTGCCGTGGTGAATGTCCTAGTGGGGTGGAATGAAAGCGTCCGGGATGGGCCCCGGTTCTGGCCCAAAGGTCAGAACTCCACTTGCCTCCCACCCCACCACATGGCCAGCCCTGGGGGTGCAGCGCACCGCTAGCTACAGGGCATCTGTGTTCTGTTCGCGCCAGCACCGCCCCATGCTTCTGTGACCAGGGTCTGTGCAGGGAGGACACAAAGCCACGGCACGAAGGTGGCAACTCTCCCCCGGAGCCCCACATAAGCGATGGAGGGCAACACTAAGGCTGGTGAGAAATTAAAAACAGATACACTCTGAAGAAAAACGCAACGTTAACATGAAATTTTAAGCCAAAGTGGGGCTTCAGAGAGATTTCAACCTCGATGAGGACTGCTCCTGGCTACTTCGCCGGCTCGCAGGGAGGGGGCATACAGTTCCCTCCACCGGGAGAGGCCGGGTTCGAGGAGCGCCGCGTGGGAGCAAGAGCAGGAGTGTTGGGGCCCAAGGACCTGATCTGAACCCCAGTGCAAATATCCCACGCTAAGCAACCTTGGTTTGGTAAGTCACCCGACACCTCAGTGTCTCCTTAGTAGAAATGGACATCCTAATTCTTACTATGCGAGGTGGCTGTGAATAGCACCCTATGTCCTGACACACAGTCAGCCTCCAGTTGGAAGTGGCTCTAGCAAAGGTGGTATCGGTCTCCACTGTTCAAGGTAGAAAGTCCCCTCAGCTGCTTGAGGCTGCAAAGGGGGGGGGGGGGCGGCGCCAAGATGGACCATGGGCTAAAACCACTTTTGAGTCTCCTAGTGAGGAGGGAGCCCCGCACAAAGGGAGGGCAGGGCCGCTGCGCAGGAGGAGGACATAAAGTAAGCCATCAGGCCCAGCTTCAGCGAGGGCGCCTGAGGGAGAGGGGCAAGGCCGGGTGGGGGCTTCCTGGGGGGTGACCCCGGCGCCAGCAGCCCAATGCTTACCCAGTCCACGATGAGAACCTTGCCCACGTTCAGCTTCTGCTGCAAGAGTTTGGTTGTGATGGCTACAGAGTTGAAGAAGCAGAATCCCCTGCAGGGAGGGAAGAGAAAAGGGCAGGGAGGTCAGCCTCGGCAGCAGTTCGCCCTGTGAGTCAGACACACGCGTCGCCCTGCAGACAGGGAGAAGGGGTGCGGGCGGCAGGCCCAGCACAGGGCCGGGTGGCACTCACATGGCTGTGGATTCCTCAGCGTGGTGTCCTGGGGGCCGGATGATGGCAAATCCATTCTGAAGAGGTACAGACAGAGGGACGGAGACGAGAGACAGACAGGCAGGCAAGGTGGTCACAGAGGGGTGGACACAAAAGGAGAGAAGCGTAAGCCCGGCAGGAAAGAGAACACAGATCAAAAACATGTATCACACACGCCTACAGGAATGCCAGCCGTGGGCCCCGTGGGCCCTGTGGGCCGACAGGCAGACCCATCCCTGGCCTTGAGACACCCGTGAGTGCACCGCATCTTAGAGAAACTTCGCCAGGCCCTCTCTTCCCCTCCTCCCCCAGCTGCCCTGAACTGTCGCCTCCTCCAGACTCTGGCATCTGAGAGCTGCCGTCGCAAAGGCCTGCGCCTTCCTGAAGGGAAGCTAAGGCCGCCCCACCCTCCCCTCCTGAGGGCGCAGGGCCAGCCCGAGCTGTGCAGTGCGGAAGCCCCCTGCCCACGCTCACCTTGAGCTCTCCAGCCGCCACCTTGAAAGCCAGCTCCACTAGGCAGCCTACTGCCATCCGCACGGCGCTGGAGGAGTGCATCTCGTTCCATACGGTGTCGCTGTCCACCTGCAGGGGCAGGAGAGCAGGCTTCAGCGTGCCCCTGGCAGGGGGAGGGCAAGAATCGGGGTAGGCACCTGGCCGGCCAGCCAGCGGCTGTGTGGGGCAGGAGGAGGAGCCAGAACTGGGAGAGCCATCCACCCACCCCCACCAGCAGGTGCCCCGCTCACCCCAATGCCTCCACAAGGCAGCATGGCGTACATCTTCTGGCTGATGGGGCCTGCAGGGAAAAGAAACAGGGCTGTTCTGGAAGCTGTCTCCACTACTACCAGGACTGCAGGTTGCATCTGCTGAGGGCAGTGAGCTCAGTCACAGAAAAAGAAGACCAGACCCAAGCACAAGACAGGCTTCTGCAGCCCATACCAATTGGAAGACGCCTGTCCCCTGTTCTGGGTGACATCCTACCTCTGGGGCAGATGGCAGGGAGAAAGGGTCAGGATTGGTTAGGGAGAAGAGCAAAACACACTCCATCACCAAGCCTGCCTTGTCACCTTCCATCCTGCAAACGCATCCCAGCAGCATGCTCTCATCATGTTAATTCTGTGTGAATGGCGCCCCCTGGAGGTGTGTCATGCGGTACTGTGCCAACTCTGCCGTGGGACGACCTGTGCTCCTCGGGACCCACTTGCCTACTCCAAGGGCAGTCTTCCTGACAGCGTCCTGTCCCGCCCAGGCAGCAGACCAGGGCTGGTCCACACCCTGCCCGTCAGCCTGCCCACTCACCAAGCAACTTCTTGCTGTCCAGCTTCTGTCGGTTGAGGGGGCTGGTCCCATAGAGCAGGGTGTGGTATTCGGAGTGCACCGTCTGAATCTCGTCCAGCGTGGCTTTGCGACCCCGGATCCGCTGGCAGAGGAGAGCAGAAGGGTGACACTGAAGGCCCAGTTCTGCCTCACTGCCTCATACCTGGACCCCTCTCTCTGCACCACAGCCTGGGGCTCACGGAGCTACTTCTGGCCTCAGGAGATCCAAAGGCATTTGAGAAAGCATACCCGGGCCACTGGGGACCCCAACGCAGGGCCCTCCCCCATTCCGCTGCGGACCATGGCAGAAACAGGCTGCAAAGGGTAGGTTCGGAGGTGGCTGGGGGGCCTGGTCCTGAGGTCAGGGGTGAACAGAGACACAAGGGGAGGCTCCACCAACAGGGAGACACAAAAGCCTTTGCCAGGTCTGAGATGGGGGCTGGAGGAAGGAGGGGCTCCCTTACCTCACACTTGCTAAGCAGGCCAGTCTCCTGCAGCCGGGACCAGATGCTCTGGATCCGGCCGGCGTGCTCAGGGTGCACGTGTGTGTTCCCACACATGCACTGGTGCTTCAACATGAACGTGTCGTAAACCACACCTGAGCAAGACACACGCCTGTCAGCCAGCTCTGCTCCGGCCTGTGTCACGGCCTGGCCACCGCACCCCTCAGCAGAGCTCAGCGAGCCCTTCCCAGGCTGCGCTGGCCCGCACACCCCCTCGGGGCCACCTCCCACACACTTGCCCCTCTTCTCTCCTGAAATGTTTTCCTCCACTACTGGTTGTCCAAACCTCCCTGGCTCCTCAAGACTCAACCGGCCTGCCGGGGACACCCGTACTGGGTTTGAGCTCCGCCCACCGTGCCCCTGACGTGTACCCTCAGGGCACACCCTCTATGCCTAACTCCTGTCACAGCCTGTGTGCCACTCTCCCACCCCCATTCCCCACTGGTCAGATGAAACCATCCTCAGGCATCTGTGGCCCCCTCAGAGCCCAGCACAGGGCAACTTTATATGGAAGATCCTTCTGGAATGGACCGAGGCCTCACTCTTGACCTTGCAGGGAGAAAGGGGAAGCTAGAAGGGCAAGATCCAACTGAGACAGTGGGCTTTATCCACCCACTGGAGGCTCGTGCGGTGACGGTACAAAATCAGGTGGTCCCTCAGCAGCGCCGGGTGAGACCCTGAAAAGGATGCTGCCCTGGCGGGTAGGGGCAGGGCACTCACCACCTGCCTCCCAGTGGGGCAGAGGCCGCCCCACCTCCACAGGTGGCTGTGGTGCGCAGGGCGAGAAGGCAGGCCTGCTCTCCCTCCCTTCCGGACACTCTGGGGGGCCCAGAAGTCCCTTCAGCACAGGGACTATCTCTTCCCGATTCCCTCTAAGCTAAATGCCGTGCACAGGCTCCTGGCACAAGGTGGACGGACAGCGGCAGTGGTGGGGCTCACCTGTGGTGAAGAGGTGCTTGGTGAGTTGGTCTGGGGGGCTTTTCATGCCCCCAGGAGCAGCAGGTGAGGACTGGGTTCGGCCCAGGGCCTGGTGGGGCACAGTGGACAGGCTGAGGGGTGCCTGGTACACCTGCAGTGGCTGCAGCTGCTGGGCATCTGAGAACACCTGGGAAGGCGGACAGTGGGAGGGGGCCCGGGTGAGGCTTAGCCTAAGTGGGAGTGAGGGTAGGTGCCCTAGGGCCTCCGAGGGGGGCCCCCAATCCAGCCTGTCTAAGCCTCCTCTTCTCCCCACCTCCTCCCTCCAGGAAGAGAAGACGCTCCAGCCTTCGATGTCTCCACCTTGGAGGAGGCGGGGAGGGATGGGGGGGGACAGTAATGAGTCATGCCAGAGTAGCATGGAGGTAAGAGGGACGGGGGTGTGGGAGGGGGTGGGATGAGTCAGGCCCGGAGGGCTGTGTCCGCAATGAATGGAGTGCACGCTAGGCACAGGGCAGACTGTAGTAACGGGGGGTGGGGGGGAGGTACGCGTGCACACAGGCACGCACAGGGACCAGCGCACAACCCACCCTATGGAGGCAGGAACACAGATAGCGCCACACACACACACACACACGCGCGCGCGCAGACAGGCGGGGGCAGTCGCAGACACAGGGAGGGGCTGGCAGACTGGTGTTGACAGACAGCTCTGAGAGCGACAGCAGCAGCACCCTCCTTCCACAGCCCCTGGTCTCGTTCCGACTCCCATTCTCTCTTCAGGAAGCTGCCCCTGCACACCTGGGCACCCAGACTCGGGAGAGGGGAAGCCGGGGGTGGAAAGGAGGGGAGAGGGCAGAGGAGTGGGGGTCAAGGGCTGGGGGAAAGGGCACCTTTTTGTAACCAGCGCTGGACTCCTCCAAGTCGGGCCCCTCTTCACCACCACTCTCGCCCTCCTCATTCTTGACCTGGACACAATCCTCCTCGTCATCGTCCTCCTCCTCCTCCCCTTCCTCCTCCTCCAGGTCTTCCTGAGTGCTCTCGCTCTCCGTGGAGCCTTCTCGGGGGATGGTGAGGGCCCCCTCCCCCAGCAAGGCCTCCTGCTGCTCTGTCAGCTCCTCTTCCGTCTCCTCGGGGTGCGTGGTGGGCTGTCGGGGCAGCTCCCCGGTCTTCGTGAGGATCTGAGGGCAGAGCAGCAGGAACGCGGCAGCTGGGAGGGGGAGCAGCCGTGCAGCCACTGGCCCAGGAAGGTCAGCCCTTCCCTCCCCGCGCCCCTGCAGCCAACCAGCCCGAACAGAGCTTTGTGAATTAGAAAAAGGCAAGGTGGCTCCTCTGAGCAGATGCGGCACCAGGGAGTGGCCTAGAGCATCAGCCCCTCTCCCTTCCTGCCACCCTGGCCCTGCCGCCAGCACAGCCCAGCACATTTGCTTCTCCCAGCTCACCTTGCCCAGCTGCAGCTGCTGCTGATGCTTCTGCTTCTCCAGGAACTGCTGGTGCTGCTGTTGCATGACCAGCTGCTGCAGGGCCTGGGGGCTCTGGGGTAGCGGTGAGGACTGAGTGCGGCTCAGGGGCCGGTGCCTCGGGAGTTTGCCCACCGTCCGCATGCCGGTAGCCACTCGTTCACCCGTCACCAATGGGGACTGCCCGTGGAGCGGCACTGTGGGGTGCAGGGAGGGGAGTACCCATCACTGTCAGCACCCCGGCATCCCACCCCAAGACTCCCCCCTCCTAAAACACCACCAGCTACCCACACAGGAAAAACTGGAGGGGCCTGGAGCACCCTGTCCCTGAACTTCAGCCCCATTCTTCTTCCTCCCTGTAAGTGAACAGTCTCACAACTCAGAGCCACCACCTCTGGCAAGCCTTCCTGGATTCTCCATTCTCTCCCTTTGAGCCACTTAACATGTGCACATATAGTCTCAAGCCCTCCATTACAGTGAACAATGACTAGTTCTCTCCAATTACAAGACCTCCCTGATCATAGACGTGGGTCCTACCAAGCTGGGGAGACCGGGAGCCGGGGAGCCGGGGAGCCAGGATCATGTGTCTTTTAAGCAAAACCTCTTCGGATGTCACTGGCTACTTAAGGGCTGGCTGTCCACAGCTGTGCTGTCCAATCCCACAGCTGCCAGCCACACGTGACTACTGAGCACTTGAATGAAATGTGGCCTGTCTAAATTGAGATGTCCTGCCCTGGCCAGTGTGGCTCAGCAGATTGAGTGCTGGCCTGCGAACCAAAGGGTCACTGGTTCAATTCCCAGTCAGGGCACATGCCTGGGTTGTGGGCCAGGTCCCTGGTGGGGGGAGACACATGAAAGGCAACCACACATTGATGTTTCTCTCCCTCTCATTCTCCCTCCCTTCCCCTCGCTCTAGGAATACATAATTAAAATCTTTAAAAGAAAAATAAATAAATAAATTGAGACATCCTCTCAGTGTGAGATACACACAAATTTTAAGACAGTATGAAACACAAAGAAAAATATCTCACTGATAACTCTTTGTATTGATTATGTTGAAATGATAATATTCTAGATATAGGGAGTTAAGTATGTTAGTAAAATTAATTTCACCTGTTCCTTTTTACATGTTTCATGTGGCTACTAGAAAGCTTTACACGTGTGGCTTGGACAGCGCTGCTCTGGAGCATGAGCTCCGTCACGGCAGCAGATGCTGTGGAGAACAGTGCCTGGCAGGCACGTGCTAAATCTGTAGATGAAGAGATCAATGACGCCACTGACGAAAGCAATGGCAGGGCTGGGAATCAGCCCTGGCTGCTTCCCCCTGACGGTCCTGCCTCGAGCCCCAGCAGGGGGGGCCTCGTGCCCCTGCCTGCACAGCGCCCGCCCACTCACCAGCGATGAGGGTGCTCTGCTGCCGGGCCTGCTCCAGCAGCAACACGTGCTGCAGCAGAGAGGCATGCCCGTGGGGGCTCGTGTCGCCCTCCAGTGCCACGCCCAGCAGGCAACCGGGGATAGAGGATGTGCTCATGAACTTGCCAGTCAGTGCGCCACCCTGCCGCAGGGACTGGAGGGCCTGCCTCTCGGCCTCCTGCTGTGTCGACAGTTTGGGGGAGGCCTGGGACAGAGAGGGAAGACAGAGATGAGGGAGGGGTGTAGAGTGGCCCCAAGCCCGCCAACCGTGGACCAGCATCCCTCAACTACCCTCTGCCCACCTCCCAGCTCTGGGGCGAGCCATCTGATCTCTCTCAGGGCCTCGGGAGGACCAAAGCTCCAGCTGGGGACACCCAGGACCAAGGAGCTCCACACCAGAGAGAAGACAGGGTACGCGCCCATACTTACAGTGAGGTGTGAGTTGGTGACAGTGACCGTGGCCTGCAGCCCTAGGGAGATGTTGGGCAGAGAGGGAGACGTGTAGAGGCTGAACTGGTTGGGGGAGCTCTCCAGGGGGAGCGCCCGGTGCTGGGGGAGCATCTGGGGAGCAGTCAGGAGAGACAGGCGTGAGCACAGGCCCAGGGGGGCCACTGGGGCCAAGGCTGAGGCTCTGAAAGGTGCCCTGCTCCCCCCGCCGAGCCCCACCTGCGGGGCGGGCTAAGATTCACAGCCCTTCAGGGGCCTGTGGGGCCTGCCCCACACCAGGGCAACAGGTCCCTCCAGCCTGCCTACGTGGGAAGAGAGGGCTCTGCTGGGCACGCTCAGCAAGACAGGCAGGAGGGCACTGCTGTCCCTCTTCCAAGGGAAAAGGAACACCCCGGCCCTCCCTCCCTGCCCCGGCAGCCCCGTACCTCGGTGGGGATGTTGGGGACTGAGCCAGTAAAGCCGTTCTCGGCGATGGTGCTGTGGGAGCTGTTGGGGGAGCTGGGGCCAGAGCCTGGCGCGCTGTTACAAACCGAGGACACTACGGGAGAAGCGGCCGTCAGCTGGGCCTGCCGGGAGCCTCCTCTGCTCCCGGCCCTCAGAACGGGGATGGGAGAGGAGTCCTTACCCCCAGGGCCGGCACCTGTGATCTCAACAGCTCTCTTTTTAAAGGTGCTGATGACAGTCCCATCCTTGCGACGCAGGAGGGGACTGCTTCTCCGCTCGGCCACCTTCTGCTTTAGCCTTGAACGCACTTTCAAGTTGGGTTCGGAGGCTAGGGAGAGGGGAGCCGGGGCTCAGACGCATCCGCACGCATGGGCACACACCGAAGCCCAGCCCCTCCGCGTTCCCACCACCTCGTCCCGGGAGCCACGTTCTGGGAGGCCAGGCTGAGCAGGCGCTCACCTGTTTTGCGGAGGGGGAAGTCATCACGGCTGTCATAGGGCCCAAGCAAAGGCAGTTTGTAGGAGGGAGGCGTCCCGGGTGGGCCACTCTGGGGAGGGGAACTCTGGTCCAAAGAAGCATGGTGGGCTCCCCTGGAGGGTTGGGGGACGGGGACAGAGACACATCTAAGTTATCACCCAGCCAGCTAGACCTGCCACCCCCAGCAATCTACGTTTATGAGATATCCACTCTATGTAGGGATTAAAAAATGGATCTAGAGGAGGGAAGCGAGGAGAGAAACCAGGAGCAGGATTTCCTAGGAGACTGGAGGGCCCATACATGGCTTCAGGCCAGGAGCCCCTTTCCCGCCCATGGATGGGCAGCCCCGAAGCGGGGCACCTCTGCTCCCCACACTTGCCCAGGGCCGTTACCAGCATTTGGGATGCTGCGGGAGGGAATGGTTGAGGCCGCCTGGCGTGGGCTCCTTTGACTTCGACAGGAGGAACTCCTGGAGCCTCAGCTTCACCTCAGTGCTGGCGATGGCACCTGCGAGACAGGATACAGTTGACCAGGGTGATTGGGACCAGGTCCCCAAAGCCCGATGAGGGGGCAGGGTGGAGTCCCGGCTGGCCCCAGCAGGCCCCAGGCCTTACTCTCTTTGCTCTTCTCCTTGTTCCGCAGAATGAGCAGCTGCTGCTCTAGCCGCTGCTTCTCCAGCTCCTCCTGCCGCTGCTGCTCCCGCTGCCGCTGCTGCTCCAGCTCCTGCTGCCTCTTGGCTGCCAACATCTGCTGCTGCTGCAGGACAGGGAGGCAGGGTGAGCAGGTCCGGGCGGGGGTCAAAGGTCTGGGTGGCCCCCCCACGCCCCCCTTGCTCACCTTGAGGTGCTTCTGCAGCTGGACCTCATGCTGCCGTGTCAGGTGGTCATGCTGTTTCTGAAACTCAGCGAATAGGAGCTGCTTCTGCAGCTGCTGCTGCTGCTTGAGTGCCAGGAGCTCCTGCTGCAGTTGCTGCTCCCGCAGCGCGGGGTCCACAGGACCGGCCAGAGCACCCCGCAGCTCCACTGGGCTGGGGCTGCCTCCACCCCCACCCCCCATTGAGCTGGGCATGGCTCCTGGCAACACCGGCTTCACCTCCACTGTGGGGAGAAGAGACAGAAACGGGTCAGGAGGCCCTGGCCAGCTAGCTCAGTTGGTTAGAGCGTCGCCCCGATATGCCAAGGGTGAGGGCACAATCCCTGGTCAGGGCACATACAGGGGACAACCAATAAATGCGTAAGTGGAACAACAAAGTGGTTTCTCTCTCATTCTCTCCCTTCCCCGCTCTCTAAAATCAATAAATAATTTTTTTTAAAAAAATTTTTTAAAGGGTTCGGGAGGCCTGATCCCAGACCCCACTAGGCCTTGGCAACCATGCCTGGCGCTCAGAGAGCTACCAGGCAGGGCTACTAGACGAAGAGAGAACAGAGAGAGGTGGGCAGTCAAATCTCTTGCTCTGGGAATACGGCCCTCTGCCTTAATTAAATGAGGTCAAAGTCATGAACTTCAGTAAGAAAAGATGCATACGCGTGAAGCACAGTACCTAAAAGACTGAGTGCACGCGACTGTCATTGATAGTTAATGCCACTGGGTATTTTCTAAGAATTACTTTACTGATGAGGAAACTGAGGTTTTGAGAGGTTCAAGTAACATGACCAAAGGCAAACAGCCAGGTGACTGATGAACCAAGATGCGAATCCGAACCCTATGCTTTTAACCACTGTCCTCGCTGTGCCTCCTCCCCGACCTCTTGACACCACACACTCCTCCTTGCCAAGAAGCCTACACTGGAAGAAGAATTGAGGCACAGAAGCTGGTTCTAGAACTGATGGGGCTGGCAGCCATGGCCCTCGGTAAACCCAGGAGGGGCCTGTGGGGACCCTCTAGACACCCCACCCCCCGCCCCTTTTCTCTTCCCCATGCCCGACTAGGGCAGATGGAAGGTGAGGCCACCTGGAGAGGCTAAGATTTGGGGGTGGGGTGGGGGCAGGAGGCCTCAGGGAAAGGGGGTTCAGGGCTGCACCAAACCAGGGACAGGAGGGGGCTGGGAGTCAGACTTGCTTCCTTTGCTGGATTATCTCCTTTCAACAGTTTTATTGTAATTACCCTGCAAATGCCGCTATATATAGAGTGAGCCAAACAGCAGCTGTGCCTAGGGGGAGGAGGGAACGAGAGAATGGGAGAATAGGAGGGCATGCACAGAGCGGAGGTGGGAGGAGGAGACAGGAAAGGAAAGGGAATCAGACAGGAAGAAGGGTAACAGCAAGGGGAGGCAGGAGCTGAGGCAGATTGCTCAGAACTCTCGTCCCAGGGACGACCCGCTGGGAAGGGGAAAGGGGCCGAGGGGCCTACTGGGTCCCAAGACCTTAGGTCCAGGCCCCCACATGGCCAGTGGGCTGACAGGCTCCAGGGAGTGGCAAAAGACTCCAATGAGAAGGATAGGTCTTGCCCTCCTGATGCCTGTACACCGTCCACTGGTCACTGAATGTCACTTCCCATCACTGACTGCCCTGTGGTTGCCAGGGCAAACACCACACCAGCAAGGAGCCCCAAACCCAGCCCACACCACACAAGCCTCCTGACGCCAGCAGGAAGGGGAAGGCAGGCTATCCACTGGCCGGGAAGGAGGAAGTGAGAGCAGCAAGGCCAACCCATCTTGTTTCTTTTCCATTTCTTTCTCCAAAGAAAGCCCTCACTTTCCACACTCCAGCCCAGGGAGGCCGCAGGGAGCTCGGAGGACTTCTGTGGCAAGGGCCCACTCCAGCCTGGGCCTAGAGAGGAAAGGACCCCCACATCCTGAGGGCTGTGTCCCCTGCCCCTGTGAGCAGGCCCCCACCGCCGCCCTCCTCGGGAGTCCGCAGGGAGCAGGGAGGGGCTCCAGTGCCCTGAGCAATCTGTGAGCCTAGATCTCTCCAGAAGCCTGCACTGCAAGAGTGTCGCCAAGGCAGGGCCTAGGCGTGCTGAGGCCAAGGCCTTGCTAGCCTCCTGCCTGAACAGGGCCCCTAGGACCCACTGGGGGCGGGGTGGCGAAGCCTGAGCAGAGTGTCTCTTTCAGTCCCCACCAGCCCCTTCTCCCCCCTGCACTGCTGGGCACATTCCTCTGTGGTTTGCCCGCCAGCCACACTGACGACTCTGCGGCCAGGAGGCCAGAGCCACATCTGCAGGAGTGGCCAGATGTGGCCAAGAGGGTGGAGCTACACACACTCTCTTCCCCCTCTGCCGCCTCCCCCCACTCTCTCTCTCATCCACTTTTGCGCCTAACCCATGGCCTGTCCCAGCACCAGAAAACTGCAAAGGGCCCTCCTGGAGGTGGCCAGCACCACCCAGGGTACAAAGCAGGGTGGCAGCAAAGAGCCAGCAGCCAGCCTTGGGTCTCCCCAGCCCTGGAAACGGTCATCGAGGCCCCAGGCTGGAGGGACAGTTATCTGTTTCTAGGAAAGCCTGACTTGGCCTGAGCCACTCCCATCGCTCAGCCAAGAAGTGGACGGGCTTTGGCCTGCTGCTCCCGGCAATGCCGGGGCTGCGGGAGCCAACGCCAGCCTGCCCACCCAGGGAAGGGCAGGGGCCCAAGCACCCCTGGCTCCCAGCAGATAGTCCCGCCCAGGACGGAGCTGCCACCAGCAGCGCTGGCTTCCCTTTGCAGGAGCCCTGCAGAGAGGACATGGGTTCAGGGGAGGGGAATCTCCCACCAGGGCTCCTGCACAGCCATTGCCGCCACTGCTGCCACTGAGATGCTAGGCTCTGTGCAGCCGTGAGAACCGCAGCCCCACTGGTATGCAGGTGGTGGGGCAGCCAGTGGGCTCCACCACACAGTGTTGTTCCCACACAAGCAGGAAGCATGGGCGACTGGAGAATGCTGATCTGCAGGCCCTATGGGGCCCAGACAGGATGCAGCCAGGGGTCTACCAGGTAGCAACCTGGCTCCATCCAGGATGGAAGGGGCTGCAACTGCGCAGCTGGAGTCCAGGAAAGGGTGGGGGAGAAGCACAGAGCCCCTGAGTAGTCTCCTTGGCACGAAACCTACAGCCTGGATAGCCTTGCACCCCCTCAAGGACCTGTGCCCTCTGCCAGCTTGGCATGAGCAGAGCAGGTGGCAGTGGCTGCCATCAGAACCAACACCTGGGAGGGGAAATGGGTGTGCCACGAGAGGCAGCTGTCGACCGATCACCTCCTGGTGGACCAAGGAAGGTGGGAGAACCCCTGGGAAGGGGAGAGTGGGCAGAAGGGCCCTGTTTCTTAGAGGACGGGCTGGGAATCCGCTAGCAGGGAGACCACTGAAAGGTCGGGGGAGGGGTCACGTGGAAGGGCAAGGCCCTGGGTCCTCCCCGTACACTCACACCTCCTCACACCTCCTCCGACAGAGTTGCAGGGAACAGAAGGTAAGCCAGACAGCCAACCAGCAACCTCCTCCAGGGGGAGATGGAAGCGTCGTCTCCCCTGCTCCAGACTCTGCTCCCTCCTGGGGACTCTCACCCTTCCTCTGGGAGTGGTGGCCTTAGGAACAAGCCGCAACACTATCTTGTCCTCTGGCCTTCTGCAGGCGTGACCGACACTGTCCCCGTGGAGGAGCCCAGCCCAGGTGGCTGGGTGGGCAGGGCTGAGTACCCCCAGCCATCACAGTGGCCCACACATGCCAGGCTCTGGCTCAGAAGGAGCCTCCCTGCCCAGACTATGGGCACAACTGGGCAGTGATGACACTTTCTTCCCATCCAGCCGGGCCTCCTACCTCTCCATAAGCCCCCTTAGTCCAGTGGGAGCTCCCACAGCAGGTTCTTCGGGCAGCACAACCTGGGACAGCCTGTTTCCTCGGGGGACGGGGGCTGATAATGCAGGTGCTTACGGGGTGATCTTTGGGACATCCACCAGCACAGCCTTAGGCTGTGTGCAGACTGTCCAAGCAAAGGGACCCACCCCCAAGCACCCAAGTAGCTCTAGGACATGAGGAGCAGGTTTCAGCAGCACCTTTGGGAGTAACAGTTCAGGGCCAAGCCTCCCTCCTGCTAGGAACACATCACAAGCCATGTCCTGGCTCCGAGCCCTCTCTTGGAGAAATTAACAGCTCCAGGATCCCTGTGACCCCAACGCTGGCAGCAGGGAAATGGTAAATGGAAAAATGGTAAATGGTAAAAAGGGAAATGGAGACCTTCAGTCTCCCTTGAAGAAGCCCTGGAGGGAACAGGGTGGCCCCGTGTGTGGACCTGCAGAGCAGACCAAAAAAGCTTAACAGGCGGCTCTAAAAGGCCCCGCTCCCAGGAGCCATAGGCCACAGAGGTCTAGGGAGAAAAGGGGCCTAAGGGGACTACGGTACGTAGAATGTGACGGAGGCATGCATTAAACTGTTTGCAATTCCTACAGAGGACAAAAATGAGACCTTTGTTGATAAGCCCTCGATCTTAGGAGTCACCCTAACAAATCTGGGGAGATGGTAAAAGGGGCTTTTGAGATCGCCTGTTTCAACTCTCTCATTACACAGATAAAGAAACCAAGCCTCTTAGGCTCCTGTGCAGAAGGTCCCACCAGCTTAGTAGCAGGGACTCGAACCCAGGCGCCCTGACTCTCAGCTCAGGCAGGCTGCCTCCAGACACTAGCCTGTGCCGCCTGGCCCCACTGCAGGCACCCCAGCGACTCGGCGCACACCAGGCCTGGGTGCCTGGTCCCTCCGGAGGAGAGCAACAGGCTGGCAGCGCCCCAGGAAGCGCAGCATCCTCTACCGGCACCAACACCCTCAGCAGCAAGCTGGGGCGTCAGCAGATTCCTTAAATGTCTAATGACCTCATTCTGTCCCTCTGGAGAATGGGAAAAGGCTCCTGTCCCTTTCCTGGTCTTGAGGGACTTTGGAAGGAGGCAAGGAACAGCATTTCACACTCCTCCCCATGACGCCAATGACCCCTCCCCACTAAGGACTCTTTCCCAGGATCTATTTCTGGGCTCTTACAAGATTAGCAAGGCCAATTTAGGCTCAACAGGTACTACCACAATTCAGACGGCATTTCCACACGTGCAGGCTGGGGATGATTCTCACCTAGCAATTTTCCCAAGGTCTACATGTGTGACACACGTAGCCTACTGAATAAGAGCATGGCTCTGGAGTAGGAGAAAA